TGGGGTTTAGTCTCATCATCCTCAGTGGTATTTTGTGGCTTTCCAGGCTCCCTTCTTGATTGTCACCCTGGGGAATCCCAGCCCAGTGACCAGGGACCTGATCTGAGATAGCAGTTATCCCTCATCTCTCCCAATAGACATTCTCTCTCTCCCTTCCCTCCTCCAACAGACCAGCCTCATTGGGCAAATTGAGATGGCATGATGGCTACTCTCCTGCTGGCTAGGTGGCAGGCTGACAAAGCAGATGGAAGGCAAATACATCACCAGCCTAGAAACTGGGTCTTAGGGCAGGAAGGTCTTGTGACCAGGTTGTCAGAATTCTCAAAAGAAAGGGGTACTTGTGCTTAGAGGAGCAGTTCTCAAATGCTGGTCCCCAAGTTTTCTAAGAGTATGACCTACCTTTATTCTACATATTAACACTGCCTTTCTTTACGAAATGATGGTATATGAATGACACATGTGCATGGTGGTACAGCGACTGAGAGTACTGGCCAGCACTCAAATCCTAGGCTCAACCGTTCCTGCATGTGGGACCTTGCAGTTATTTAAACTCTCGGTGCCTTCGTTTTCTGTCTGTAAGATGGAACGCTCATAAGGTTGTTGTGAATTTAAATTAGACAAGTAAAACACCTGGAACACCAAGGAGGCATTCTTCATTACGTTAGATATGTTGGATCCATGTTCTCTCATAATTTCACAGTTCCAAGAAATTCAAATGTCTCAGAACCACTGGCTTAAAGATCCAATTTCCCTTAAATGTGTTTGCAGGTACACAAAATATTCACACATACAATTCCAAGCCTGACAGTGCAAAGCATCATGCCATCACAAAAAGGCGGAGACCCCCTGAATTAGTCTTTAGGCACCTCGGGTCCCTTGGGGAAGGAGAGGGTGCCCTGGTTTCACAGCCAGATCCCATTCCTATGGCACAATCTAATCAGTTTATTCCCTAAAACACACAGCCCCCACTTCCCCCAGAACATCTCTGTGTCTGTATAAGAACACACCTGTCTACGTGTCACAGCTACCAGTTGTGAGTGTTCAACAGGATGTTTCATACTTGCTTGCTGCTCTCAGAGATAACACCCACCTACCCATGGGGTGCCTCTCTTTTCAACCTCAAAGGCCATCTTTGGCCCTGCCCTGGAAATGTTATGTCCTCCAGGTCTGAGGGCCAGCTGGTCCTGACTGCAGATGCGGGCGAGGCGGGGTGTGGGGTGCAGAGGCAGGGGACCAAAGGGCCGAAGGACTGACCATGGAGGGCTTCATGCTGGGACCTCTTGGCTGCGTACTCTGAGGTACAGCACCAACTTTGCTGCACTACAAAGTGACAGGAAAGCAGCAGAGGACAGCCCTCTGAGTGGTTGAACCTGGGGTCCTTCCCTGTCCCATCTCACCACATACCCTCAGCCCACCCCCAGGAGGCAGGGAGCAGCCCCCAGCCCCTGCGAGTGCATCCTCTCACCACACAGCCTGAAGCCTGGAAGGGAAATCCTGCGATGCCATTCATAGTTGAACACCTTCCCTCCCAGCCTTTCGGGTTGCTGGTCTCTGGGTCTTTGGAGGCTTCCAAACTGGGCCCTTATGCCTTCTATAATGCCTGTCCTAGCTATGCAGATTTCGCAGTTACTCCTGCAGAATTTAGGTCTGGATCAGACTCCCTGTTCATGCAATCAGATTAAACGCTCACTAAACTTTAAATGTTTTTGATTGGTGGCTAAAACAATTGAGATATAAAGTAGTTTGGGGAGGCGAGGGAACCAGAGAGATGGATGGTTTCGAGATCCTAGGAACAAAAAAAGGCTAGCCAGCCAGGAAAGGGCCCTGTGGGGGGTGAGCGGGCTTGTGGGGGTGGGGGGGA